TGAATCACTCTGATGTTACTGTTGTGTATATACAATCAGCAAAACCCTATAGAAAACAATTTGACAACAAAAATAAACACCTTAAATTCTGTACCTTCAACAGCAATTCTATTTTTAGTGATTTATCCTAAGAAAATTACTGGACATATATGCAAACATACCATAATATGTTCATTATAGCAGAAGATTGGTTAAATATATTATAATACATCCACAAGAGATTACTGTATTTCTACAAAAAATTAAAAATAGCAGTCAAAAAGTAATAGAAAATAAAGGAACATTTGGGGGCAAGAAAACATGCCTACATTCTTTTATTAAGTAAAACAATCAGATTTACAAAACAGGGACTATAGTCTTCACCTTAGAAATTCTCTACATAGACTCAAGATCTATATACATCAAAATACTGAGTTACTTAGGTGGTGTTTTTTTTTTTTTCTTTTATTCATCAGAATTTTCTAAATTTTCTAAAATGAGTATAACCATTTCATAGAACAAGCTCATGAAAAAAGCTATACAAAAATTAGGTCTCTGTGAAAAATAAGGCCAGCAAAGGGATATCTATATATATTATATATATATTCCCTTATTGTCTACCAATTGTTAAATTTAAATTTTGTAAGTTATTTTTCCTTGGCTGTTGTTTACTTTGATATAAGGCTGGCATTAAACTCATAACCTCCTGTTTCAGCCTGTTAGTGCTGGGATTACAAGCATGTGCCACTACATTTGACAATCTCTTTAATTCTCATAACACAGACATCATCCTTACTCAAGCTATAATAATCTAAAATTTCAAATGAAACATCTTTTTTGCTTAATATTTGAGAATTTTCTGGTAACCGATGGAGAAAATACCTCTACCTAACTGACTCTATATGGCACTTGCTTGAAGCCTCTGCTGTTAGGATAGAATATTTTGGTTTTGGTGCCCTTTAATAAAGAGCTGCAGATCAATTTGTTTACTATTCACATCTCAGATTACTTATCACTTCTATTATCAATTCAGATCTAAAGATGGCTCCAAATTGCTGGTATCTCCTCCAATATATTTAATCCTTTCACTATTAAAATGATATTTTATAACCACATGAAGTCAAAGTCTAACTAGCAGGAAATCTTACATATTAAACGTTTATGCTCTGTTATTATCAATTTGTATTTTGTTTCCTTATTTACTTTACATGTGCCAAAATAAACTTATCTAAGACATTTTGCTTAATATACTTAAGTAGCTACCATCTTTCAATACAATACCCTTTCAGCTGTTTCCACATTCATTTCAAGTATTCCTCTATGATTTCTTAAAACTGCAAATCTATATAAACTTTTTCTACTAGACTAGGCTTCAATGTAAGATTTTTTAAATTACTGATGTTATACCTGCTTAATGAAGAAAAATATATAAAAGGGAGGCATATAAAAGCAAGCAAAGGAAAAATTGTAATCACATATAATCCTGTTATGTAAATAAATGTCTGTTAATATTTTTTAAAAAAACAACTCTGAAAATCTGTGTGTGGTGTAGTTGTGTATTCTTTTAATCCCATATGTAGAGAGGTAGAGAGAGGCAGAGAGCTGCAGAGAGACAGAGAGAGAGAGAGAGAGAGAGAGAGAGAGAGAGAGAGAGAGAGGCAGAGAGGCAGGTGAATCTCTCTGTAAGATTGAGGCCAGTCTGGTCTATGTAGTGAGTTCCAGGCCAGCCATGGCTACAGGGAGACCCCGTTTCAAAAAAGACCAAAACTAACAACAACAGAAAACAAAACAACCCCTCAACCCAAACAAACAACAAAAAAATCCTTGCAAATCGAATTTTATAATTTTCCATCCTTAAATTCCTTGCTTTTAAAAAAGAAAATCAGAGGGTCAACACAGAGGAATCATTTCCTCCATGTTTCCAAGCAAAGCCAGCCATGGTCGAGCAGGACCTTTGATTTATCTTCACATAGGCGGAACTGGTAAAAGAAAGGAGCCTGGAGCTCCTCCCAAGCCCATGTGACCCCTGAGGAACAGATCCTCAAACGACCTTAAGAGTAAAAATAAATTGGTTTATATGGGCCAACTGTATGGCCTTAAACACCCAAAAGGAAAGTATAACCAAAGATTAAAGGGGCCAATACAATTTCTTAAGAGTCCATATGCGTAGCTAAAAGGTACATAACAAGCAACAATGCCAGATAGGAGAACCTTCTTTTGAGTTGTTGGCCAGGGTGGCCAAAGGGACTCCCAGATAGTTAACCCAGCATAGAACTGGGAAAATGAACAGCAGACCCCAATCTTATCTAAAGGAATATTGACAACTGATTGCTGCTAGATGAAGAACAGCTGACCTTCCTAAAACAAAGACCTCTAGATAGGCTGACTAGATTCACCAGATGGACAAGTAGTGGGGAATGGCTGGGGTGCTGCTGGGGTGCTGACAACACAGCAGACAGTAGCAGGGATATCAGAGCATAAGGGCTCTAGTGGGGGGGGGGAGGCTATGGGAGGGTGCCATCTGGGAAACAGGTGTATAGTTGAGTAAGATGGTTTGGGATGTTCTATGTGATACACACACACACACACACACACACAACAAACAAAAAATTTTTAAAGATGTATTATATTTAAAAAATAAATTCTCTATAGATAAGAAAAAATATTAAAAAAAGAAAATCAGAAATCTTTAACAATACGTAAAAAGCACTGAAAAATGCAGAGTCTACCTTTCCAGATTATCTCAGACCCACTCCTCCCTCAGTCTCTAACTACACTGACATGTCAGGTGAACCCATGCTCAGTCTGGTTTCAGGGTCTTTGCAGTGTGTTTTGCGGGCTATGAATCATTCATCTCTCCACCATAGCACTCAGTTTAAGATCCAAACTCAAATGTCACTTCCTCAGGAAAGCCTCTTTTTACTAGGTGGGTTTCCTCTCGTTGATACAACAGTTCCCCATTCTGTTTTTATTGCTCAACTTTGAATACTACATTGTGCAAATCATGTTAATTTTTGCCAGTAAACTGGAAACTGAAGAAGGCAGAGTCTATGCCTTTTTTGCCTGTGATTCCAACATCAGTTCTTAACACAATTCTTGACTAAGTGTACAGAGGTGATTCAGAGGGTTATGTGATCAATTTAACTGACAGGTTAGATGAATGACTCTTAACATGCTTTCTTTTTTAACTTCTAAGAAATGAAGGAAGTCACACTTGGGATTCTAATACTCGAAATTTTAATTGTGGTAGAGATATAGAACAAATATACCTCACTGAGAGGCAAGGCTTTATGAAGGACTGGCTGGCTACATCTTTGGTTTTTATTTGCTGGGCAAGTCAACATAACAATCTTTGAAACTAAAATTCTTCATTTGTAAAAGTGTAAAATTAGTCCTTTTAATCTCACAGTATCTTTGTAAGAACCAAATAAGATATGAGAAAGAATGATAAACCATAAAACACTAAACAAATGTTTTCTCACTTGCTTACTACTGAGTACAGGATGCATGGAAGTGCATTCATGGGAAAAATGATAAGTCAGAGCATTGTATCTTCTCCATTACATGAATGTCAATACAGGTAATACGGAAAAACCATGAAGAAATGAAAATTTGGTTTAGAGGTAAATCTGAGCTAAGTAACACCTGAATTTTCTAAGGTTTGTTGCTACTTCACATTCATTTTCTAGAGAAGAATAAAGGCAATGCTCTCTTTCTTTGACAAACCACTTATTTGGTAGTGGTGCTAAGGGTCAAACCTAGAGCCTCACATATTCAAGGAAAGCATTCTACCAATTGAGCTGTATTGCTAGCTCTAATAAGCACTTTTCTAATGTTAGAGAAATCTATCATAAAACCAAGTAAATCCTATCTAGCCAATGTTCTGGAAAATAATGATGAGTTACTTATGCTGAAATGTTCTAAGTGCTTTACACAGTCATGAGCTGCTCCTGGTCAATGACAGACCACATATAGTATGGTGGTCTCATAAGATTATAATAGAACTGAAAATTACTCCTATCTCCTAGTGATACTGGCCATCATAAAGTCCTAGCACAACCCATTTCTCAGGTATATAGGGTAATGATGCTATAAACAAACCTGCTACATTGCCAGCATATAAAAGTATAAGAAACATAGGCTATGACTACAACCCCAGCACTTGGTAGGCTGAAGCAGAATGAATGTGAGTTAGAGGCCAGCTTGGGCTATACAGTAAGACCCTGCCTCAAAAAAACAAAAGAGCTCAGTGCCTACAATTATGCAACAGTCATACTACTTGCTAACAAGTGGCTATTGCTGGTTTATACACATCCTATCCTGTACTTTTTATTGTTATTTTAGAATAAATAAAAGTTTTCTGTAAAGCAGACTACCATCCTAGTCCAGCAGCAGCCTCATCCATCTGGTATTTGCCTATTTCCTGAAGGCATCAAGGAGCCATGTCAAATGACTGACTTATGCCTTCAAGGTTTGTGTTAAGTATCTTGTCATGTTTAGAGAACAATCAGATTACCTAAGGACACATTTCTCAGAATATATCTCCACCTAAGCAACACATGACTATTAATACATATTTAAGCCTCTTAATAATTTGATCAAGTAGGTAATTATCATCATCTTCATTTCACAGACAGAAATGAGGCTTGAAAAGTTTGGATAAACTTGTCAAGTAGCACCCACGTGGCAGAACAGGGATTTAAATGCAGGCATTCTAGCTCCAGGATCCACACTGCTTTCTTTTTAATTCACTACCTTAAACTGTGATTCCACTCAAGCTTTGATTTCTCAACTTCTCCACACGTTTCTGTTGGCCAAGTTAAATATTTGTCTAACAAGTACAAAAGAAAGACATTTCTAAAACGAGGGGAGAAATGTAGCAAAAGAACACGTTAGCATTGTAATCTCATTGACTTAAAATTAATTACTTTTAATTAAGTACTTTTTTCCTTTTGGAATCTATCTACATTGAGTTTAGAAGAAACGATCAAAATAAAAATGGTTTAGTTGTGTACACTAACCAGGATGTGATCTACTCGGTCTCTTTTCTTTCTTCCAAATTTCATCATTTTCTGCCAATCTGTTTTGTGGTTTGACTCCTTTTTAAGACTGAACAGTTTGAGCACTTCAGTTGCTATGAAATTCTGTTGAAACAAGAGGAATGAATAAAACACAGAAACAAACTTCCTGCAATGCATGTGTTTACAATGCAGTAAACAGATTTATGCTAAGAATATATTATTTTGATAAAAGATTGCATAAATTTCTCTACTTTTAGTTCCATTTAGCAATTTGAAGGGAAAAGCATCTCAAATGCTTTGATTTTTTTGTTTTTATAAACATGTACAAGTAAATCCACTGATGGGAAGGAAAAATTACTTTAGAGTTCCCTTTATCAAGAACCACCATCAGGGGCTGGAGAGATGACTCAGAGCTTAAGAGCACTGGCTGCTCTTCTAGAAGACTACAGTTTGAATCCCAGCACCCACATGGTGGCTAACAACCATCTAGAACTCCAGTTCCAGGGGATCTGACACTCTACTGACCTTTGTGGGCACTGCATGACAAAGGTGCACTTTACATATATGCAGATATAACACTTATACACATAAAGCACACGAAGAAATAGAAATAAAAAATTTTAAAAATCTATCATTAGCTAACTAAATTTTATTTTATCTCTTATTTAGGGTTGTTTGTGTATTGCATGTATGTGCATGTGAGTGCAGTTGCTCTTGAAGGTCAGAGAAGGGTGCTGGATCCTCTGGAGCTGGAGTTACAGGCAGTTGTGAGCACAACATGGTGGCACATGTGAGCACAACATGGTGCTAGGAACCTATGCAGAAGACCTAACTTGGATCTTCTGTAATAGTATGTGCTCTTAACCAGTGAGCCATCTCTCCAGGCCCAATTATCTAACTTTAAAGCTAGCAAAACTAGTTAAGAAAGCTTAATATATATCTCTGAACTGGAAAAATCCCAAATAAATAGTTGGGAGCAATGCTACAGGAGAAAAGCACAGGACTTGGTCTGAACAGTATGTTCTGAATCAACAAGGTTCAAATAGTTTACATTAAAAATATAAATGAGCCAGGCATGGTGGTGCATGCCTTTAATCCCAGCACTTGGGTGGCAGAGGCAGGTGGATCTGTGAGTTCGAGGCCAGCCTGGTCTACATAGCGAGTTCCAGGTCAGCTGGGGCTACAGGGAGACCCTGTCTCAAAAAGACCAAAAAAAAAAAAAAAGAAAAGAAAAGAACACTTCAGTGTGAGAATCATGGTAAAGCCTTTTCTTTTTTAAAGATAGGGGTCTCACTACATAGCATGGCTGGCCTGGAACTCACTGGAACTCACAGAGATCTGCCTGCTTCTGCCTCCCAAGTGCTGGGATTAAAGGTGTGGTAATGCTGCTTCCCAAGTGCTGGGATTTAAAGGCATGGTAATGCTTGGTGTAAATCTTGGTTTTTGCTTATGAGACAGAGTCTTACTAAGTAGCCTAGTATGGCCTGGAACTCTGGAACTCAGGGCAATCCTCCTGCCTCAGGATAAGTGCTAGGATCATAGGCAGATGCCACCAAGCACAGGTGTTAACAATAGCTGAATTATCATCCTTAAAAATACTTTCAAAAAGGCTGGGTATGGTGGTGCATACCTTTAATCTCAGCACTCGGGAGGCAGGGGCAGGTAGATCTCTGTGAGATGAAGACCAGCCTGGTCTACATAGTAAATTCTAGGCCAGCTGTGGCCACAGGGAGATTCTGTCTCACAAACAAACAAAACAAGAACATTTTCAGCAATATGATTTCAGGGGGCTGGAGAGATGGCTCAGTCAGTGGTTAAGAGCACTGGCTGCTCTTGCAGAGGACCGAGTTCAATTCCTAGCACCCACATGGCAGCTAACAACTGTCTGTAACTCAAGTTCCAAGGATCCAACACTGTCTTCTGACCTCTGTGAACACTGCACAAGACAAGTGCAACTACCTACATGCAAACAATACACCCATACACATAAAATAACAAATATCTTTTAAAAATTAAAAAAAATTGATTTCGTATTAAAATGAACATGCAACATCTAGTCTATCCTATACTGATACATGCAGTTTGATGGCTGCCAGTATGTGTCTTATTTATCTTAGTTATTGTTATTAATATTTTTATTACTTTTGAAGATGTTTCCATTAAACAATAATGATTTCAGTGGGGAAGGGGACATATTTACGAATCAGAATCATCTGAGAATATTCTCAAACTGCCCAACTCCACTCACTACTCCCTGCCTACAGACAGGCACACAATGCATTCAGAGATTTATCCATTTTGGATGAGTGTAAGGAAGAGACTGTGCAAGTATATTTTGAAAAACTGCAAACTTTAAGCCAGAATTTGCCAAAATTTTACTACTTTAAGATAGCAAGTTTTCAGTAAAGGATCAGATTATACGTAGTTTAGGCTTTTGAGGACATATGGTCTTTTTCATAACTACCTAATTCCACTGTTGAAGGACAAAAGCAGTAGATAAACACAAATAAATATGTATAGCTGTGAACCAAACAACTTTTGCCGAATTAAGGAAACACATGCAGAACATACTGCCACCATTGCACATGTAGCCTGTGACTGGTGTACACAAACTTGAGGGTTCAAGGTTCTCTTTCACCCCCACCCTCCACTGCTTACTGAATGCTCATGATGAGAGATCCTTAGAACGTAGTACTATTGAAGAATATCGCTTTTATGATGTTCACAGATCTGTATAAATGAACAGGAAATAAAAAGAGATCATTTATAGTTTAGAGCTTACCTTGATTTCATCAAGGCTATTTGGATTTTTCACACGTCGGAAATAACTAGAATTGATTCTACATGGCTTCATCCAGACAGGCTGATTCAAGTTGGGATCTTCAGCAAATATTTCCTCAAAAATCTCTTTTGTTAAATCAAAAACCGCCTTAATAGAGAAAAACAAAACAAAACAAAACAAAAACAAATGGCTGAGAACCCAAACTTCAGACAATGGGCAAGAAACTTAAAAATAAAATAATCTTTTTATGTTACCTGTTTGTAGACCCTTTTGCTAGTGCTTTCTATATCTAGACCCTTACTGTCACAGCCAGGCAGTTTTGGAGGAATACTGATGCTGTGAATGTCTTGGCCTAATTCTTTCCATTTCCAAAGTTCTTCTGCTGCATTATGTACAAGACTTTCTACTTCCTCTACAGTATGAGGAACTGCCAATAATGTTTCACATGGCTTCTGGGGTGCTCTTTTAGGTTCTGCCATTAGAGGTACAATTGTTTCTTCTGCTTTATTTTTTTGGATCTTGTGAGAAGAGCTCAAACCAAAATCTTCATCAAACCAGTCTTGATCATCTCCCAATGAGCTCAGGAACTCCCGGCTGATCTCAAGCTCAGCAAGTCTCTTAGCTAGCTCTTCTTGGCCACTGGCACCAAAAACTGGGCTCTCCTACGGAAATAAAACATTCAAACAAGAGACCATTTAGTGACTTCACATTACCTAGCAGCTTTTAAAAGACAAAAGCTGGCCAGGCATGATGGCATACACCTTTAATCCCAGCACTCAGGAACAGAGGCAGATGGATCTCTGTGATTTCAAGCCCAGCCTGGTCTATACAGTGAGCTGGGGCTACAGGGAGACCCTGTCTCAAAAAGAACCCCCCCCCAAAAAAAACAAAGGAAGGTATGAAAGACAAAAGCTTATGTATTTAATATACATAAAATTAAAACAATACAGTGGCTACTAATGAACAACAACAAAAAATCATCCCCTTCTCACTATTCTGCTTCTATAAACATTATTAAATTTTCATAATAAAATCTTTGTTTTTTTCCTTTTTTATATCATCATTATTTTATTTCTTAAGTCTTATCTCTGGAATTCCAAAATGGGAAATGAAAATTCTCACCTTCAATAACTGTCTGGCTTAAGTTACTCAAAATCAATACTTTTTCTCAGTTATCCATGGGCAACCTAAACAAGCTGATGTCTGAGTATGCCATATATGTCATAGAGGATACATTTCAGTTTTATCAGAATCAACATCACAACTGGTAATCTCTGTAGGACCCCATCTGAATAGATATGTGAATAATTAATGTCATAGGCAAAAAAGAACTGGACTGAGAACCACAACATCTCACAGAATACATTTTCTAGTGAACCTGGAAGGAGACCTAATCTGTGAACAGGACACAGAGGCCACCAGTCTAGCAGTTTTAAAAAGATATGTCAGTTCCTACAAACCTGCCAGTGTTTCTGACAACCCTATAGTGACTACTCATGATGTAACAGTGGACAATTATATCTTAGACAGAAGAATAGCTACAAGTCCTTTACCAACTAGCACTGTGATCTTTATCTAATAAACAGCAAGTTGGGGAAAATGCCTGTCAAGAGACATAGAATTAAGATACACTACAAAGAAAGGTAACTAGACTCTTCTCTAGATAAAATACTTACAGGTCTGGGACACATATCTGGAGAGGATATTTCTTCTTTTTCATCATCCAATTCAGACTTTAAAAAGCAACTTGGAACACTGGGTGACTGTTCCTCAAGATTTGGGGATTGGTCTTGAAGTGGTACTTTCTTTTGGTCATCAAGATAATCTTGATTACTAAGCAGGATTTTCTCATTTCTGGCTTTCTTGATTTGTTGGAGTTGATTGACTGTGTCCTTCACAAAGACTTTTAGTAAACTGTCTGTCAGTAAGCTTATTGTTTCCAGTTGTTGCTTTGATGTTTTTTCTTCAGTTATTGATTTAAGTTGAACTTCTAATTGGTTTTTTTCTCTTGTTAAAAGATCCAGAAGTGGTGTAGAAGGCTTTTCTGAAACTTCAGAATAAAGCTTATCTTTCTTTTCTGTTAACTGCTGTTGCTTCAATTCTTCTGAATATGTGCTGTCCAGAGTATCATCTTCTGCAGCAGTGGAAATCTTTTCTGTGGCACGAGAAACAAGATCTTTGTTTTCCTTTGAAGAAATCAGGGAATCCACTGATTGTTGGTGAACATGGATTTCTAGGACCCCAGAGATGGCCTGTCTACTGTCTGTTTCTATTTTAAGGCTTCTATCTTTGTCCACTGAGACTTCTATATTATGCATACTAGGTAGCGATTTCTCACAAAAATATTCAACTGTATCGTTTTCTCTGTCTTTTAGACCCTCTGTATCTGTTTGCTCTTGATTATAGTTTTCATTTTGTTCATCTGAGTAAGAGTCTTCATCTTCATTTACACCTATATATTCATTAAAGTTTTCTAGAATGTGAGATAGTTTTTTAGGAGGAGCAAAAATACCATGTTTATCTTTACACACAAAATATACTATGCCATCATATGTTCCATTGTTATTTCCTTCAGGCTTATCCAACTCCACTCCAGCCCAAAATCCTTTAGCAAAGCTAGTTTCACCTTTGAATCGAAGAGTGCCTGGCTGGACATTGCCAATTAACACCCTATCCCCAATGTGGAAATCCAGTAACTCATCTACAGCAGAAATTGCAGCCAAGGAAAGGGATTCAGTAACTCCCTGTTCATGTTCCACATCACTGCGCTCTTTACTTTTCATCAGCTCAGTAGGGGACTTGAGTTCCAGCAGCCTTTCAGAGTGGACACCGCTGTGAATGGAAAGGCTTTTCTCACTTGGGCACTCACTGACTTCCTCATCACTGCCAAACCCAGTGGCTCTACTTCTAGAGCTCCTGGTTGGCTGTGACTTATCTCTGCAAGACTGCGAGTCTTTCCTGAGTGACAATGATGACACCTCAGAGTCATCTTTATTCATATTTTCAGCTGAAATTCCTTTCTTGAAATAAGACACTTCAAAATCTTCAGAATACGACAATTCTTTAGAAACAAAATGATGATCCGAGAAGGATGAGTCTCTTTTCTCTCTGTCTTTTTGTTCATGAGTATCTTTTGCTGACTGGATATCTTGACTATGATCTGTACTTTGATCTGACTCTTTCTCTTTCAACATTTCTTCTGTTTGATGAAAATTTTCCATGCTCAACCGAACTAGATCATTCTGAACATTTACAGAATCTAGCAGAAGAATTTTCTTTGAAAGCATTTCAGGTGAGTCATCCTGATTGAGGTCCAGTCTCAGTAAGACATCAGACTTCTCAGACTGTTTAGAACAGGCATCTTCAATCTCACTCTTCTCCAATTTTGTATATTCTACTTCTTGTATTTCTGAATTCTGACTAAATTCTTCAGCCTTAGCCTCTGACACATCATAAATTCTATCAGGGACATTTAGTTCCTTGAGAAGAGGTAATGAAGGCGCACTTTCAAGAGAATCTCCAGATTCTATCTGCGCTTCCCTTGATATTAGGATCTGAGATGACACCTGCAAATGTTCCTCGATTCGACTGTCCAATTCAATCACTCTCTTTGCATAGGCAGATAACGACTTTTCTGATACAGCTCTCTCAGAACCCGATAATGAAGAATCTTAAAAAAAAAACACATAAAAATTATTTTCTAACAATTTTTCAATTCTGAGATCTAAATTTAAATAAAAGCCAAGTCTCAGTGAAGAAAAAAACTCTGGTCAATAAATATAACTTGCTTTGTTTATCATATAAGGTAACTTTTTAAAAAAAGAAAATATACTGTATTGAGGATAGAAAATAAAAAAAATTAAAGCTTGGAATAATTTAAGTATTGCCTTCATTTATAAAATGAAAACGGGAACTAAATTTATAACATGATTATTTAGTATGATCATTTTCAAATCATGGAAAAATAAAATTGCATTAGATGTACTCTTCAAACAAAGAACAGGGAAAGGAGGACAAATATACTTCTATTTATTCTTCTGAAAGAATGATTTTTTTTTTAAGAGATCAAAACTAAGGCCTCTGATGTGAGATTACTTCTGCAAATTTCACTTTAAGAGCTGAAGTTGCAGAATAAGAAACAAATCAAGGGTTAAGTTTTTCATTCAGATCTCTATTTTGTCATTGATGCTAGGCAGGCTTTTTCTTGAGCCTCAGTGCAATTTCTTGACAGAATTTACATTTTATTTTCAGTATTTTCAATAACTGTTATTTTGAACTAAATTTAGAAAAATATACATAATCATTTATCATACAATCAGATAAAAGCATCTGATTAAGGAGGAATTTAGAGATGCTGATGAGTTGTAGCTATTCATCCTCACATCCCAGTTTTATCAGAAATATGGGTCAATAAAGACCGATTTGCATTTACGTAAGTGCACAATATGTGTGCAATGCTTAAGGAGATCAGAAGAGAGTGTCAGATTCCCTTGAACTGGAGTTATGGATGGTTATGAACTGCTATGTGGGTGCTGGGAACTGAACCCCAGTCCCCTGAAAGAGCAGAAAGTGCCCTTAACCACTGAGCCATTTCTCCAGCCCTTACTTTTCTAAATTAAAAAATTAAATTTATGTGTATGTGCCTGTGATGGCTAATCCTGGGTGTCAATTTGACTGGATCTGGGATTAACTGAAAGAGATCTTGATTGGATCATCTGAAACTGGAAGACACACCCTAAATGCGGGTGTTACCTTCTGATGGCAGCCCGAGAGTGCTTGTTGTGCAAAAGCTGGAGTGCCCTTGTGCATGTCTGTTACCCTAGTGCTGAGGAAGGCAGAGATGGGAAGATCACCAGGACTTTCTGGTCAGCAGCCTAGCTCCAGGCTCAGTGCCAGGTCAGGACTACTGAGGCATCCAGCCTCGTGGACTGAGCGACTACAGATTCTCAGCCTCTCCAGTGTGGTGCAGCCATTGTTGGACTACTCAGGCTCTATCCTATGAGCTAAGCTGATAAATCTCTATACATATAGATTCATTCTACCGGTTCTGTTTCTTTGGAGGACCCCGACTAATACAGATTGTGGTACCAGGAGTGGTTCTAGAGAAACAGAATTAAAAGGACGAATTTCTTTAATGGGCTTGTTGGTATTTGGAGCAGACTCTCCAACTCAAGAGTCTTCAGATAGCATGGAGAGCAATGAAAATCCGTAGTGTAGACTATTTGAAACTATTATGGAGATAGACCCATTTGAATCTCCTAACTCACCTCTTGTGAAGAGCAAGAAATTTAGTGAATCTATAGATAAAACATTTGAAAATTTGTGGAAAAATAAGAAAAAAATGATGCTGGCTGGTTACTTCTAGCATCTCCAGATAAACCTGGATCAGGCTGAGTTTATTGACATGGGCCCCCTGACTGGAGATTCTAGGTTTAATATGGAAGCTCGTACAGTTAAAAAGGGTGTTAAAAGTTTATTTGATTGGTTGGCTGAGGTATTTATCAAAAGATGGCCTACTGACAGAGAGGTGGAGATACCTGATATTCCTTGGCTTAGTGTTGATGAAGGGATTGTAAGGCTCAGGCAAATTGGTATGCTCGAGTGGATTCGCAGTGCAACACCAAATCCTCCACAATGGGAGGGCCCAGGGGACATGCCTTTTACTGATTTTATAAGATGGAAAAGTACTGAGAGAGACCCCAGAACGTCTAAAGAGCTTTGTTTTTGCTCTTTTCCTTACGCTGAATCTTACAGTTGGAGATGCTGCTGCTCAAGTGCATAAATTAAATGTAAATATAATAGGTGTAACAGGACCTCAGAGTAGGGGTCAGGTGGCAGTATTGAATTACCAAAGACAAGGTGAGTGTACTTATCAAAATGGGCGGCAAAGGCAAAACAATACCTACAATGGCATGACTCGAATGGACCTGTGGTACTGGCTAATCAATCATGGTGTTTTCAGGGACCACATACATAAGAAGCCTACTAAGTTTTTATTTGATCTGTATAAGCAGAAAACCTCTAGGACGAATGACAGGAAGTCAGTATTGGATCATAGCAATAGAGAATCTTGCTCAGTCAACCAATTTCCAGATTTGAGACAGTTAACGGACCCAGAA